TATCAGCATCAACTTACTGTGGGAGAGAACAAATGAGCCGATTAGCGTAGGAAATAGAAAACTATGTTTATCGATCGCAAAACACATAATTGAGACAGGGCATAAGATTGACATCAAGGCGGCCTTCAAAACATTGTATAGAAATGTTGAAGGACGAATTTTGAGGTTTGTGGAGGCTTTGGCTATTAGAAAATTAAAACCCTTTTTATGTGTGCAGAAACAATTTGACATAACCTTGAATTTACCTTGGTGATCTTTAAGCCTAGGGTAAGCCTGCCGTTTCCTACCCCTTCTTATTCTTTTCATATTACGTTAATTTTCTCTCTCCTTTATTTACAATCATTACCCTATGTCTATTTGAACTTTTATTTAATCGATGTTTTATTCATCTTCATATAAAATGCCTTGACAAGTAAATTTGTGTGACCAGATTGTTCGTAATGTATAGTGCAAATACATCACATTTTTCAGATCAATTACGTCTTCTCAATGTTCTATCAAAATATATAAAAGGGACTAATTGTTTTAAATTTCTGAAAAGAAGACTCCCTCCATCTTGTATTAAACAGTTAGATGAACTTGCTACTGTTAAATGCTAAATCGCTTCTAAAAATAAAGCAGGACTTTCACAAATCGTGCCTTACTACACATATATTTCTCAGACAATTTTATAAATTCTTAAGATCTTACAAATTAATGCGGAAAATTTCTAATCTCCTTCGTCTCACGAAATCTCACTTCGATTTGATAGCTTACTTGGTCCCCTAGACACACACGGTTGGCAACAACATGTGCACCTGCCTACTAGGAACCACAACATCCTCGATTTGGTATTTTGTCACGATGTGACCCCAACATCTGTGTCTGTCTGCGAAACGTTTCACAACAGTGACCATAAAATTGTCCTCTGCACCCTTCCGTTTTTTGCTAAATGTGACAAATCTAAAACAGTAAACCGTTTTCAATACAGAGACTATAAACATGCTGACTGGGACAGCTTTCGGTTTCTAATTCAGCACTCCGACTGGACTGAGTTTTTTTCTTGTCTTGAACTTTCTGATGCATTACATATATTCAACGTCACCATCAAATCTGCTCTAGACACGACTATCCCACTCAAAACGTCTTTCAAAACAGTTACTCCTTATATCACCTACAAAGCTAGGGCTAAACTACGTCAACTAAAACGGGCGTTTTGCAAATCTAAGGACTTCAGCATCCTGTACCAAATTTACGCTTTACTTGACGGTGTTAAACATCAACATGAAGTGCGTAGGCAAATCGAAGAAAATAATGCTCTCGCTACTGTGTGTAAGTGCCAAAAACCTCTGTCGTTTGCTTAACAAACGCATAAAAAAGGACTCAGTGTTACGGGAGAAACGAAGACATTTTGCTGATCAAAACCTTCATGCATAAATATCATTAATTTCACTGTTTTTGGGTACATTTGTTTTACTTAACTTATGAACTTGTTTGAATTATTATTTGCGGACATATTGGACTCCCGTTTCTCTTTGTTGTTCGTTGCAGTTTTTTGCTCCAAGAGATAATAAATTAGAAGAACGACATTGGTCGTCTATTTGTAATAAAGTATTTTGGTCGAATTTGTGATTTGGAATAAACTTTGGTATCTACTTTGGAGTTTCGTTCTTGGTATAGAAATTTGGGACCGTGAATTACAAATAGACGACAACAGTGCTTCGTAAGATCAACGAGCAAAAAACTGGACGTAACACTCAGATCGAAAAATTCATTATATAATACATGATGGACAGACTTATTATGACGAAGCTGTTATTTGCGAACTGTTTAGTACATGGTTCTCCCTCAATCTGAACACATCTCCTAT